TTGACAAATTCATTCCTAAAGCCAGGCTTTAGGAATGAATTTGTCAAAAGCGGAGGCGTGCGGGCAATACGTTTGCAAGTTCATTTCACATTTCAATGTTTATTTACTCTGTGTGTTTAGCTTAAGCTATTTAATATTGCGAGTTCAAAATTAATGCTTTTTTAAAGATTTTTAGTGAAAATGGAGGATAAAGTGCTATTCGGATAGGAAAAGATAAAATCTTTAAACTTTGTTGAACACAAGGTCAAGAGTGTATTTCAGACATATCAATTATCGCAATTAAAAAACAGTTATTGGTACAATTAAAACGTTCACCAACATTTTACGTGGACGTAATTAAATCTTTCCATAAGAAAGCGAGACGATTCCACTTATCTTATCTTATCTCTTATCCATTAGAATGTAAATAATTTGTTTTTTATTTAATTTTGTACATAGTTTGTACTTTGTTCATGTTTTACTTATGTTCATGTATTGTATTGGATGTAAATATTTTTTTCTTTAGCTTAAACAAACCCAAACGGCTTTCCTCAAAGCCACCGAAGCTATGCAATTGCTGATATGCAATACAATCTATCTAGCAGTAGTATGCCTTCTGTGTGCTTTGTTAAACACGTCCTTGACAGCACTGAATATGAAACTGAAGCGTGGAGACAGATCAAGATTGGTGTATTTTTATAAAACTTCTTAAAACGACAATCTATATTTTTATCAATTTATATCTTGGGCTTGATCTAGTTTGGAGCTCTAGCATCGCCACTGCTTACATATGAATTTTTTTTTGTCAAATATATTTAATTAATCAAAGTATGCACCGTTGTTATCTGTGCACTTTTGTCATCTCATAGGTTGTTCATTGATCCCTTTACTAAAAAAAAACCATGGGGCCGAAAATAAATAAACTCTTTGAAGGTGGTTTGGTCTGCCGCATCGGAGTTGAATTTTTTTCCTTGTAAGAAGTTGTCCTTGTGTGAAAGTCCAAATTCGGGGAGTACGGTGGATGTCGCAGACATTCCAATTGGGGCTCATCTAAATTAGTAGTTGTTTGTTGTGCAGTGTGTGGTCTTGCGTTGTCGTGAAACAGTAGTGGCCGAGAGCGATTGACCAATCTCGGCTGTTTAGCAGCTAGTTCTTCCTTCATGGTTTGCAGTTGCTGATATTAGATATCTGCCGTAATCGTTTAGCCAGATTTTAGAAAGCTGTAGTGAACGACATCGGCGCTAGTCTATCAAACACTCACAGGTAACTTTTTCTGAATCAATTTTCGTTTAGGGTAGGATTTTGCTGGGACTCCAGGGTTCAGCCATTGCGACGAGCGCTTCAGATTATCGTACAGTATACACTTTTCATCACAAGTAATGATTCGATTTAAAATCCCTTCATTTTTGTGTCGGTTGAGCAAAGTAACACAGCAGTCGACGCGTGTTTGCAAGTTCGATTCACTCCATTCATGAGATACCCTTCGTTCAAGTTTTTTTACTTTCCCGATTTTCTTCAAGTGGATTAATATTTAATACAGTTTTATTACTTACCCCGAAGCCTGCAGCTATCTCTGAAGTGCTTTGTGATCGATCAGCTTCCACAATAGCCTTTAATTCTTCATTTTCCACTTTGGTCTCCGGCCGTCCACGGGGATGGTTCCGAAGGGCGAAATTTCCAGAACGAAAACGTTGAAACCAAAAACTAGAACTCGTACTCGTAAATGTACCGATATTTCATGTTTTCCATTGTGCCGTAATAAGCGACGCCAAAGAAGAAAATAATGAGGAAAAAACAAATGAATGACTGTTTTCCAAACTCAAATGTACCTGCAAAATGAATTTATAAATTTGAATTTGGAATTCTTAACCAAAGAGAAGATATTTCAGATCAAAGTGGTAAGTACGACAAAACGCTAATTTCATATCTAAGGACCCAATATATTTAAATACCAGGTGTAATATAATCTTTAATATTGTAAACAAATTTAAAATAAAATAGTCTTCAATGTAAAAATGACGACCGCATAGCTTTGTGGTCAGTATTACCAAACTGAAACATCCATACATGAATCATAAGAGGAGATTATGAGATATGCCACAAAGATAGTAAGCAACGTTAAAGATCACGTCATAGAGCAACAACCGGCGTAACGGTAGGTAGTAGCCATAGCGTTCTTCCCCGATACAGAAGAGAACTGTCTGTCATTTTTACGGAGGAAATCTACGCGCACTAAAATAATCGTCTCACTACGAAACCCACACATAACAAAATAATAAATTAACAATTTCACACATACTTAGATACATTATAACACTATCGCTCGGTGACAGTGACCTAATTAATTAAATTTTGAAGTGAAAGAATTAATTAAATTTTGATGCTTCTTCAACGAGTAATAAAAAAAATTATCGATATCGATCCGCAATCACGTCACACATCAATTTTGGAAAAACTTAAAAGTTGACCCCATAGTGGTCGCGTGGATTATAATTCCACTTTTTAATAATATCAAATTTCACAAAAGACAATTAAATGAATCTTTTGACACGTCAAGTAAAGTTGAAAAGTAGGACGACGTGCTCAGTGCAGCACATGCACGTAAATTTAGTGTGATTTATGTTTTATGTATTATGTATTTAATGGTGACTTTTCCTTAAAATACAAAAAAATATGATATAAAACATGGATGAAACACAAACGGCTCAAATAGAAGCTTGGCTTCACGAAAATTTTGAAGATGATTTTTTAACGTGATAGATCTTAATTCTGTAATGTTAGTGCGGCTTTTACAACTTCGTCTGATACTAGGGTGATATATAATGGTTGTAGCACAAAAGTGTTAGCTCGATCGGGGAAGAAACACGCTGTCAGAGAATACTAGCGTCATATAGCAGTTCAATGCTGCTGTGTTCCTTATGGTGAGTGTGGATAACCGGAGACCCTTGCTAATGAAAGAGTCATTCCATATTAATCCTTAAGGAGTGACAAGGCATCTGTATTTTGATTCTTAATCGAGGATAGACGTAGGTGTACATTGGCCACAGCATTCACTTACCATCGGGTGGACTGTGTGCGTGTGCTTGATATTCACCCTTATTCTATTAAAAAAGAAGAAGACGTAAGCTCAAACAATGAAATAGACATTCTTGTGGAGCAGAACAACCATCATGAATCGAAGCAAGAAGAAGAGGTTTCAGACGAGGTCTTTGATTTTGTATTAGTTGCAACGAATATTATACTGGTGATAATAATATTTGCTCATCGAACCGACGAATAGGGGAAACACTAAAATATAATACGCCGGGACTTCCTTTATTTCCCGCCCCTTGGAATGAATGGAACCTACAACACAAAGATTAAAACAAAAATCACTATCACGAAGTCAGGTATTCAAAATGAAAGATCTTTTAGATATTCCCGAAGCCAATATTCAGCCATCTACCTCAGCGTCATCACAAACTAAGAGAGTAAGTCGCTACTACGACTGTGGAAGATCTCGCAATAAAAGTATGCGCCGATCGTGCACTCATCATTCTTCATAATCATTACAGCTCTTCTCACAAGTCCACTGCTAAACATAGGCGTCCCCCAAGGAATAACACAAAGCACGGTCCTGAGCTATCTGCATCCATCGACATCCTGCATGTCTTACCAGGTCGTCACTCCATCCAGTGAGAGGTCGCTCTACACCACGCCTTATGGTACGAGGCTGTCAACCTTTCATCCCCATCGGTTGTTGGTTCTTTGAGCTATATGACTGGCCAATTGTCACTTCAGCTTACTAATTTGTTGGGCTATGTGAGTCACTCTGATTCTACTGAGGATATCCTCATTTCTAAGTTTATCACGCAGAGAAACCCCCGGGCATAGCCCTCTGCCAAAGCTCGCTAAGCGACCTTGAGCGTCTTCCTACGGCCAGCAGTGAGGGATCACTTCTAAGATCCATAAGTCATCACTGGCAACAGGCACTGGTTGCACAATCTAGTTTTCAGGTTTTGAGGTATACCTGACGAGAAGATTTCCTAACGCTGCCCAACCGATTTGAATCCGTCGATTGACCTCTCGGTCGAAGTTGAACTTACCTAGTCGGAATATTTGTCCTAGGCAAAGGTACTCGTCAACAACTTCGAGCTTAGTGCTCCCAACAACTACCGACATAAGTATGTCATGGACATTAAACATGATCTTTGTTTTGTCCACGTTCATCTTAAAACCTATCCGTTGGGAGACACTAATGAGGAAATTGAGCATAGTTCTTAGGTCCTCTAGCGCTTCTGCCATAAGGACTATATCGTATGCAAATCGAAAGTGTGTGATGTACTCGAACTTGATGTTAATACCGTATTCTTTCCAGTCCAGTAGCGTGAAAAGTCTTCTAATGCAGCGGTGAAGAGTTTCGGGGATATAATAGCCTACTGGTGTTTGCTAACCCGTTTTCCTTAGAAAAAAAAGTGACGCTTCATCTCACTGCGTTAAATTTAGTGTGAGCTTAACTTTTACTATTTAGTTACGTCATAGGAAAAATATATATAATAATTAGTATAATCTTAATATATATAAATTACGTGCCACGTTGTTTGTTCGCGATGGACTCCTAAACTATTTAACTGATTTTAATCAAATTTGCACATCTTGTGCAGTTTGCTCCATTTTGAGAGTAAGGGTAGTTTTTTTGCCCATAAGTGACCCACAATTATTTTTTTGCGAATTTTAGGATTTTTAATAGGACATGACAAATTGTCGTCGAAAAGGGCAGAACAACGTCTGCCTGGCAAGTCAGTTTAATATATTACATATAGATCCCTTAATAGCTAAATAGTTTTTGCGTGGCTTTGGCCGTTGGTATACAGTTGAAATTGATCATGTGTCTGTACATACATCGGATCTTAACCGCCTTAGATATCAGAAAGCTACGAGTTGAAATAATATTTTAAAAAAACATAAGAGTGCGGAACGCTACTGACAGGAATTGGGACTTGGCCTGATTTATGTCACGGGAGTCATGATTAAGTCACATTTCACATATTTTGATCACAATTTTGGTACACAATCCCACAAACTACATTAATAACACTTTGGTCATACATGTCGCTTAGGTCACGTGTCTCGCGTGAGTCATGTGTCTCGCGTGGGTCACGTCCGCAGCTCGGTGGTAGCGTTAGGTAAATGCTTGACTTATTGGCGGTCGGTGGCGTGGAGTTTCTCTTCAACGGCTTCCTGCGAGGCCTCAGAGAGGTCAGTTGCTTGGATGCACTTCTGTACACCGAACAGCGAGTTTTGCAGCGCGTCGAAGGAGCTAGAGTCTTCATCTTCTTCTTGACCATGGCAGTGTCGGGGCACCATGACATGAGGAGAAGCTTCTGTTTCTTATTCGCCCCCGACGAGCCCTCACATTGATGCGTGTACTCGAAATCGTATATACCATATCTGCACTCGCCAGTGCCGCCCTTCTGCAGGTCTTTCAAGAACTGGTCGTATTCCGCGTTCCTCTCCCCTATCGTCTCCACGTCAATCTGTTTCTCATCAAGGATGAAGAAGACAACATAGCGGTGCTTCTTGTCTTTCTTTATCTCTTCATAGATAGTTTTGCAAGCGTAAAAATTCCACTACAAAAATCCCGATTCTATTCCATTTTAGAGTAGAATAGAGTTAAATAGAATGGAGTAGAATAGAATAGAATAGAGTGTAATAGAGTGAAATAGAGTAGAATACAGTAGAACAGAGTACAATAGAGTGGAAGAGAAGAGAATAGAGTAGAATAGAGTATAATAGAATAGACAGACAGGCTGCTCGATACATGAGAGTATTATTGTTCATAAGAAACATTTTTACAAAATTACAGCTTCGTCTTCACTATACGATGATATTGTCATAAGTAGTAAAGATAATTTCAAATATCGCATTTAATAATATTCACTACTAAGAGATGGACGCGGAATCAATATTTGCTAGATCTTGTTAAGATGGAAGTTGCAATGCTTTATATCTATCAAACAGAAAACAGCTTAAGCATACTAGATACAATACGTAAACAAGAAATTCCGTAGAGTTTTCATATAAGCCGCGATGAAGCTACAATGTGAATTCATTGTTAGGTGGTCGTACGGTGGAGAACGCCATGACAAACATCACTTCAAAACATCACATCAATTATCACGAACGGGGATGGTAGCACGATTATCATGAAGAGCAGCCACCCAAGGTAGAAAAAATAAAGCTTGAATGAAATGTAAATGAAATAGAAATATTTTCTTAATATAGATTAAAAATATACTTATTGAAAGTCATTCTTATTTTTAATTTACCTTTGATTCAGAAAATACCTCTGTCCTAGGAAAAACCATCAAGAAAAGACACATACGTGGTAGAGCCATGCTGCAGTTATATTAGTAGTATAGTTGTAGCACGCAACGGGTCGGCTCGACTGGGGAAGGACCACGTTCTCTCGGAATACCAGCGTAAAATAGGAGCATAATGCTGCTGTGTTTCGTATGGTCAGTGAAGAGAAACGGAGACCCTTTTTACTGGAAACGAGGCATTCCATCTTAGTCCTCACGGGTGACAACGCATTTGCATTTTGATTCGTAATCGAGGATAGATGTAGATGTTTATGGGCCGCAGCAGCCACTTACCATCAGGTGGACTGTGTGGTCGTTTGTCACCCTATCGTTTAAAATAAAATAAATCATTAAAAAAAGAATAGTTTAAAATAATTTATTATGATACACAATTAACTACACATAACAAATCGAAATGGTTTAGTGACAATTACCTCATACTCAGGGGTTATTATCATCCGTAAATTCCTTAATATTATAATAACTTAAACCTTTTTATGTAATCACTGATACCCGCTCGCTCGATAATAGACAATATATTTTGGGACTATCGTAAAATCCATTCTTAGCGAGCATTGAAACTTAATGAACTACTTAGTAAACAGAAAAACTTAGGGAACATTGTAAAATGAGCAATTGTACTAAAGTTTAAGTCAGTCAGTTTTAGAGATAAGTATTGTGAAAAGTCAGTCAGCCAGTCAGTGATGATAATTTTAAATTATTTGTTTGAAAATTTTTTGAACAGGTAGTTTGCCCTTTTCCCTTGAGCCTGATACCCTGCGAAGCGACAAGGTTAAAGATGTCTACTAAATTTATTGTTTTGTTGCCGTTCGTACCCTATTTTGGGTGGATCTGATTTGAATTCCGATAGATTTTAATTAATGTATTTCTTTTATTCAAAATGTTTGTGTTTATTTTTTGTAAAATATCAATGCCATAGATTTGGGTATTTCTGGAACCAAATGATTAAAAAAAAATTTGTAAGTTGATTTGTGATCTAACTTTGAAATTAATGTGATATTTTTATATATTAATGTGTAAAAGAATTTTTTTAATATTTTAAATTGATAAAAAAGGACGTATAAATAGTTTTTGTTTATTAAATATGATTAACCGTTGACTAAATGTTACCCTGTTTCATAGTTATAATAAAATAAAAAAAGAAATTTTAATTGATATTTTAAAGCTTTATTCTAATTTTAAATTGGACTACATATGTAGTCAACGCGACCATTTACTTTATTTTATAAGGCACGACCGCTGCAGTCTAAAGTAGTCTCGTTTCACTTTTATTGTTTATATGTTGCTAATATAAACTAGTCTCGTAAAGAGTGCCGTTTTGCTTGTATGTTCAATTTTATAACTGATTTGTAACATCTAAGGGTTGACTTTAAAAATAAATATATAACTAATATCGTGGGGAGTGTGCTTGTCACATTTCGATTATCACTAAGATGTTTATGAAATATTGTGTACTCCAGTACCTTATTGGTAAAGTTCTTGATTATTATTTATGATATTATTTTAAATTATTATAATAGAAAGAAAGCATATATAACAATAAAAATACTTACATATGGATTGTAACTCCATTTTTTTGTAAATTTGAAGTATGAGACTTCTTTTTGCATACGTTCACCACACAAATCGGCATTTTTTAAAGAACACCTAGAACGACGGAAACTATTCTAGAAATGTAGAAATCGATTCCGTAAACAGTTTTTATGCACAAGATTTTTACATCCAATACTTGCGCAGAGCCGTGGTAGCTCAGTGGTTAACGCTCGCTGTAAATATAACAGAACGCGAGTAACCTGGGTTCGATCCCCGCCGGCACCAATGAAATTGTTAATTGCAATTTTAAGTGCTGATTTACCACGTGCTCGGCAGTGAAGGAAAACATCGTGAGGAAACCTGCATGTCTGAGGAATAAGAAAAAAAAATATTTCGAAGACATGTGAAGTTCGTTCACACGCATTTGGGCAGCGCGGCGGACACTTCCTTGCCCTAAACCCTCTCAGAAATGAGGGGAGGCGCAGAGGGAATAATCATGCGAAGCGAGTCCATTGAGTTGAATCAATGATTTCAAAAGGAAAGATAGGCCCATCTAAATATTTTACACTTAACTTTTTCATACAAGAAAAAGTAGCGCATCTGTCATAATACAAACGTCATATCAAAACACCACGTAACCAGGGTCGGATTTCGTAGTGTAATTATTCCATTATTTCATAGTTTGTAGTTCATAGTATCGTAATAAAACTAAGCGAAAATACCATAATTTTACCTAAAGGTCGACTTGTAATATTATTGGGTCCTTTTACATTTTAATATTAACCCTACGATATCGAGAATTTTTGTATTGTACATGAGTACCGCGTTTTTGAATAAAATTAGAATTAGCTCCATTTCTGGTCAATCGATGGAAAAAGAAACATGAAACGTCAAACGTGATATAATTTTTTTAAGTAGTATAATTTTATATTCCATGTACAATATTTTTAGGGGTCTGAATCCAACCCTGGCCTAATCTTCGTAACGTAACTTTTAGTTGTTCGGTCGGCCCGGTCCTTACGCTAGTAATATATAAGTCAATGGGTTGAATGTTCTAAGTACCAGATCTATGGATATATGGTAACGACAATCAACAACATTAACTAATATCTATGCCTATTGGGGGTTTTGGCGGGAACTTGGCCAACGACGGACTGTCGCTCCTGTTTTGTCGCTCGAATAATGGTTTGCAGTGGATTTTAATTCGTAAAAGTTATGTGATTTTGTGAATTAATTGTCTGCGCGTGTGAACTATTAGAGAAAACGACGAAACAAGTGCTTTGATGTCGATATAAGTCTCAAGTTATTTTTATCGCTTAGGCGCCTCATGAAATTGAGTGGCTGTTGTCATCAACTGTCCGCTGGATTGAGCTGTCGTCAAAATTTCTCAAGGGCTTCGCAATATGACGCATCAGCATATTGTGAAGAAAAGAAAAAAACGCAGGAACCTTGAAACTGGACTGATAAATCTATATGGATGGAAACTTATAAAGATTATAATATATAAAGAAGTCTTGGCTTTAGCCTTTGTGGTTTTTGAAAATATGAAGAATTAAAGAAACTAAGACTTGGCTTCGGCCTTTATGGACTTTGAGGAGATGGAAAGAAGAAAAATAAGAATTGGTTCCGGCCTTTTTACACACGGTTTACACTTCATAATTCTATATATTCACCAGCTTCTATATTCTATATATTCACTAGCTTGCTACATATTTATTTATCTATGACATTCACAATTAAAAAAAGACAAGGCTGTATGGCTTAGTTCCTTTGCCTGCTCTCTCGAGCGAATAATAAAAACAACAACTACGCCTATTGGTTTGGTTTGGAAATGTCAAAGTCAAACAAACAAAATAGATTGTAGGCAAGGAATAAAGCTATAAGCTACTGGTACTGTTCTATTTAACGAACGCAAGTGTATGTATGACACAATACGATTACGAATAATATGCTTAATGTTTATTCACTGAAGAGAATTTGATTGAACTTGTAAACATCTGTAAGCAGGTCCCATGTAGTCACTCCTTAGATCTCGAAACACACTATACTAATAAAGGAAGTGCCATGAACTCTGTCTGTTACAACGGGGGCAACGATAGACTTATCCATGAGGCCGATCAGCTTATATCTTACTTAGAGCGGGGATCCACAGTACTAAAATTTTATCCTCGAAAACGACCTGAACGTTTAACCCTATCAGTTCGCCGGGAAACTCATCAAGTTATATTGTTTAGAAATGGCGCACCACAAAGGCATGCCTTTGAAGGATTCTTAGACATAAGAGATATTAAAGAGGTGCGGATTGGCAAGAATTCGAAAGATTTTGAGCGATGGCCTGAAGAGACTAAAAGACTGGAAAATTCAAAATGCTTCACTATTTACTATGGAACAGAGTTTAAATTGCGGTTTATGTCTCTTGCTGGTAAGACTTAATCTATTTAAAACATTTCTGTTAAATATAGGTGAATGCGTCAACTCATAATTTCCTTGAAATTACTAAGCTTTATTGTTGTTTTGATTTGCTTTACTTTCAACATGATCAAGGCAATAAACACAGCTATTTAATATTGCCGCTTGTGTCGTTGGTCTATTTTTGATATGCACATTATTTTCAATATTTCAGCCCAAACAGATAAGGAATGTGAGACTTGGGTAAAAGGCATAAGGTTTTTGGTTGAGGAAGCTGTAAATACATCATATCCATTACAAATAGAAAGATGGCTAAGGAAGGAATTTTATGCAATAGAGAATTCGCATGAAAAGTAAGCAAATTTGTAGTATTTTATTTATATGTGAAAATGTATGTAGTTTTTTCAGTGATTATAATTAATTCTTTTCACAGGATCACTCTTAAGGAAGTAAAGGCTTTTCTGCCTAAAGTAAACTGTAAAATTTCAACAAGTAAATTAAGAGACATTTTCCAAGAAGTTGATACCAATAAGTGTGGTGAAATTGGTTTTGATGATTTTTCAATACTTTAT